AAGACTATGTAACACCATCTGTGTTGCTAGATATTCAAAAGGAACTAAAAGATTGTCACTTGTATATTACAGTGTAACCCCTATAATCTGCATCCCTGGTTGCCAGTCTCAAATTATCTGGACATCAATTCCCAGTTCATAACCTCCGTTAACTACCTTGCGATGATTTCGGGGCTCGACAACCCAGCGACCTGGTCCTCGACCAGCCTCCGTGGTTAATTAATCCTTAAACTGCTTCTGTAGCTTTCAAGCAATAGGGATATCTATCACCTGAGGGAGATTTAATGTTCATCATAGAGTCTATGTGGATGTTATTCACCACTAAAGACCTATAGCAATCATTTGCCATATTGGAAATAAATCCTGAAAGATTTAGCTTCCTTTCTGGGAATTGGAAAAAAATAGCACAGAGTGCATCAACATTCGTTTACTGATGCCCTGCTAGGAACCATTGATGCCATGCAAAATTTCAAGGACTTTATGGACCTGGAACATATTAGTAATAAAGGCAAAATCACTTATAAACATTTACTTTGAAAATTAATTCTCGTAATTTGATGTTTTTCAACCTTTATTCACCTCACAATGACAAAATTAAAATTATTAGTTTTTCCTACAACTAGAGATGTTTTATGACATAAAAAAGGAAAAAGAATTGCTTGGATTTTTTAATGCACACCAGAAATTTACCAAATTCCCAGTGGGGCACCCAGTGCTTTCAACCCAGTGGGTTGAAAGCAACCAATGTTACATACTGTTTATGTAACATCAGTTGCTTTCGACCAATGGTGCCCACAGGGTTTAGGGTGTACGGTTTGAGGGCTAACCATTAAGTCATTTATTTAATTGGTTTCCTAAACATACATTTGTGGATTCCTAGTTAAACACCATTAATGTATTTTTAGTATATGTATATTAAAAAAAATATTAATAAACAATTACACAATATTTGATCTTATTATCCAAATATTCAGTTATCCAGACAGCCAGAGGTTGCTGGTCTGGTTAACGAAAGTTGTACTATACTGTATTCAGCAGATTTACCATACAAGACTGAATGTTTCCTCTTAGATATATTGTACTTCAAGTTGGGAAAGTTGAGCCAAGAGAACTTAACCACTAAGGCTGTCAATATATAATGACACCACTATACCTGCTTGATGGGGTTCAGGAAGTTGCTCTACTCCCCAAGCCCGACCCGAGGCCAGGCTTGACTATGCCCCCACCCCAACCCGTTCTCGCAAATTTAATAAGTCAATATTGACTTATTAAATATGTGCATAGGTGACATACTTAACATAATAGATACCCTTAAAAAGATTCATAGAAAACACCGACCTTACCTAACCTTGTTAGTATCTTAAGATAAGCATCTTATTGCTTCGTAATTACAATTATTACCTAACCTATAATAGGTATAGGTTAAGTAATAATTGTAATACGAAGCAATAAGATGCTTATCTTAAGATACTAACAAGGTTAGGTAAGGTCGGTGTTTTCTATGAATCTTTTTAAGGGTATCTATTATGTTTAGTATATCACCTATGCACGTAGTTAATAAGTCAATATTGACTTTACGAATTTGCGAGAACGGGTTGCCCCACCCACATACCCTACCCTCCCTCCCTCTCAAGATTCCTCTCCTCCCAGTCTCATGACACCTGTGCCCACCAACTATATCATCCCCCACACCCTAATCACCATACACTCACCCCGCATTCTCTCTCACTCATGGTCATACTTTACAATATACACCCAGAGGGGCAAGAGGCGGCTTTTTTTTTTTTTTAGTAATATTCGTAATATGGTTCGTATTGCGAGACATTCTAGCATAAGGGCCCATGGATACCTTCCTTGGTTTGCTGCGATAAAAACACATTTAGTTATCAAGTTTTCAAATTTGGGATCTGGCTACTACCCTGGAAACACAAACCGTAACTGTCTCTATTTTCCGCTTGTTACAACTTGTAATAAAGTTGTTACATCTTGGCTTAAGATGTTTATGACGTATTAGAACATTGTTACAACTTGCTATATTGGTTGTTATAACTGGTTAGGTGTTGTTAAAACTTGTTCGAACGTTGTAGCAACGTCGTAGTTTCGGTGTGTGTTTGGCGGGTATTGAGCCTGTACAATACTTTTCCAAATTCCTACTTCATGTAGACAAATTTATATAACCATTATGTTTTGTCTACAAAGAAACCTTTCATGAACAGGGAGGCCCAGAAATGAGGAAAATTTTTAGATTTTTTTTTTAAATTCCAGTACATATATTTTCTTAAATGCCCTTTTTTTTATTTTTAGGTATTTCAGACAATATTTTACTATGGCTGAAAATACTGATGTCTTTAGAATAAAGGATGAAAATAATGAGGGTTGCATGCTAACAGTGAAAATAGTAATCATACATTATAGCAAACAGCTTCAAGGTCATTATGGCTGTAATACATTAACAAGGAAGAACATCCTGAACATCATTTTTAAGGTTTTATTGAATTTCCAAAATTTGGTTAGTCAAAATTTGTCTGAGACAATTTTGTTAAACTATATAAAGAATAATTCCCATGCAACAATTACCCAAGAGTTAAATGTTATCAATGTTATTACATGCAAGTTTAAACATTTTCAGTATTTTGTTTGTATAAATAACCCCAAGACTAGTATTATGTACCTAATAAAATTACAATTACTATTCAATAAGGTATTTTTTGATGTGTAACATGGTGAATGGATGGATAATGCTAATAATATTATTAGTATTCACTTCCTCCCAGCTGGTTCACAAACTCTGACAAGTGTTTAATTGCAGGGGCTTTAGTCTGCTCACAAGCTTACAAACCTAGACCAACATCGATCAGAGGCTGTGCCCAGACTGGCATGCTTCACTTCCAGTAAACAACTTCATTTTGCACATGAGCAGCTACAATAACGTGGCTGAAAAATGTTGACCAAACCACACACTAGAAAGTGAAGAAATGACGACGTCTCTTTCGGGCCGGCCTGGACCATTATCACGTCGTTCACAATTGACTTGATAACGGTCCAGGGCGGAGCGAAACGTCGTCGTCTCTTCACTTTCTAGTGTGTGGTTTGGTCAACAACTTCACTTTGCACTGTGTCCATAGCAACCACAGATCATCATGAAAATTAGAACAAAATTGATTTCCTCATTTCCGGTAAAACCTGAGATATATACATCCAATAGTCTAAGAAGACAAATGCGATGCTAAATTATTACAAGACTAAATGATAATTAATTAACTCAGTTAGGAATGCACTAATTAATATTTAAATCATGGTCGAGAATCTATAAAAATTAGTTCTCATAGCAAGATTAAGACATAGTGTGTTAGCAAGCATTACCATCATACCTATATTCATTAAATTTTTCAATAAACAGTTAGATTTGTTTTATTTATAATTCATTAAACTTCAGAATTCAAAGATACTGTAAATTACTTAGAATATTATCTGGCAGCATAGAAATTATTTTTTTTTAAGTTAAATCAAAGTCTTGTAAAGTGTTACAAAGAAATATTGCTGTTGGTGGCCAACACTTAAAGAGCGTTACAGTATTTTCTTAATTAGTATCTTACAGTAACAGTTACAAACACCACCATAATAAGTAACTAATAATTGGCCAAAATATACACACCTGCTACACTGTAATAAATATATATATAATAGCTCCAACCACATAATTAGGCCTTGTAGGAAAGGGCCATCTTGCCTTAATGCTCAAAGGTTTTGTTTAGCTATTTTTATCTCTACAAAACTAATTAGTATATCAATTAGAAATTAATTTACACCCAGTTTGTGTTAGACCAAAGTTAAAGAATAATAGGCACATTTAGGTTAAGTCAGGTTGTTTAGTTAGTTTTGCTTCATATTAAACATCAAAAAGTTTATATTAAAATATTTATCAGCCATAAGTTAAAATTGTTGATAACTAAATTTTAATGGAAATTTGGCTCGTTAGGCAACTCTGTCTCTCTCTCTCTCATTTTATTTATATATATATATATATGTATATATATATATATATATATATATATATATATATATATATATATGTCGTACCTAGTAGCCAGAATGCACTTCTCGGCCTACTATGCAGGGCCCGATTTGCCTAATAAGCCGAGTGATTTTCTTTATTTTCCATAAATTATTTCCAATTACTTTATTTGAATTATTATTATATTAAATTAAGACCATATTTTATTGACTTAGTTGTGTTAGTTTAGGTTAGGTTAAGATAGGATAGGTTAGGTTAGGTAGGGTTGATTAGGTTCGGTCATATATCTACTTTAGTTTTAACTAAAATTTAAAAAAAAATTAAATCATACATAATGAAATGGATAGCTTTATCATTTCAAAAGAATTTTTTTTAGAAAAATATATGTATTCTGGAAAACATGGCTTATTAGGCAAATTGGGCCTTGCATAGTAGGCCAAGTACTGCATTCTGTGTATGGATTATGGTATGATATCCTCATATCGTATGGATTATGTAAAGAAGGAAAGTTCCAGACCATAGATATGAGAGATTGTGGGAATTTTGAAAAAGAATCATCATAAGGTACAACATACATACATACATACATACATACATACATACATATATATATATATATATCACATCACATCACTAAAAACTCTATGACCCAGCCAGGTTCAATGGTGCGGTGGTCACAGTACTGTGTACGTGTAGGAGTGATCCTGGACGTCATGGGTTCAAATCCTGGCCGGGTCATGAAGAGTTCTTAGTGAACTATGGCTTGCGAGTTTATGCAGCCTTTCTTTTGTTTATTTATTTACTTATTTATTACATTATATATATTATATATATATATATTTATTTATATATATATATATATACAAACACATACGCACACGTATATACTGGTATATGTATAGGGTAGAGCATCAACAGCATAATCAAATATTTCCCAATGTCACTCACTGAAGATAATGAGGCATATTTTTATCAAAAGCTTCGCTGCACTTAGTACTTTATTACCAAGAAGTTGTCAAGAGCTATACAGTACTAGCAACCCGTGAAACACTTCATTTTTTAATTACGAATAACCATACTGTACAGGATAACAATTTCAAACTTCATATATAATGACCAATGATGATGATGATAAAGATTATTTGCCAAAAAATCAACAATCCTTAAAGAGTACTTCACAGTGCTCACTGTTGATTATCTTCTTCAGTCATGAACGCACAAATATTACTGGAGAGATGATAGCCTCGCCATTTGACGTATGTTGACCTTGAAGGGAAAATGAAAGAAGAGCGGGGCAGAGAAAGGCAAGGCTGAGAAGGTAATGGGGATGATGATGATAATGATAATTGCCAGGTAGGCAAAGTTAAGCATGGCAGTTTGGGTTCCAGATTTACTAAGTAAGAGTAAGAGATCAGACAACCTCAGCCTTGAATCAGTGGCAATTCAGATTGTGTCATTGCATATCACACGCCTAACTTTAGGAGCACCTTTTGAGAAGCCTCAGATGAAAACTTTCATAACAGAAGAAATTAGTAAATGAACCTCATGCAACAAGTAGGTACTTGTTGAGTTCTGATTGTATTTCTTGCTTAAGAATATACAAGTTATTAGCATTTATTTGCTGGACTAATTAACAGTTTCTATGTAATTTTCTGCCCATATCCTCGGCACATTTCATCCCTGCTGCCTCATAGATACCATTTGGAGCAAGGTACTGCTTACAATAAACATCATACTTAAATTCATCAAATAATCGTTTACATATCTGAGGCTCCTGACAATGCACAAACATTTGGAACATGAATGCTCTACCACTTGATTGGCTGAGAATTTTTGACAGCAGATGAGTAATGAGAGCCGCAAAGATATCCAACAGCATCCACTTCTTTTAGAATCTGTAATGCAATGAAAACATTAAATACTGCATTTTAAATACTATATATACTTTTGCAGTAAACATTTAAGTGTATAGAGCAACCAACATTTGAACACACTAAATGAACAAGTTCACAGCATTCATTATTAGAGAGAAAAAAAAAAGAAAAATCACACTCATCCTCTCTACATACACATACGTATGTGAGTGTGCACGCGCAAAGCACAACTAGGTGAATGTATGTGTGTGTGAGATAGTGAGAACGTGTGAGACGAGTGTTAAGTGAGAAGGTGGTGGAGGCCAAACCCGTCAGTAGTTTCAAAGCATTATATGACAAACAGTATTGGGAAGACGGGACACCACAAGCGTAGCTCTCATCCTGTAACTACACTTAGGTAATTATACTTAGGAAATTACACACACACACACTCTCCACTTACAAAATAATAACAAGAATTGACCAAATTGACAAAGAGGAATTCCTGAAACCAGCACCTTCAAGAACAAGCGGTCACAGATTCAAGCTAAGGAAACAATGGTGCCGAAAAAATATTAGGAAGTTTTCTTTTGAAAACAGAGTGGCAGTCGGTTGGAACAATTTAAGGTCCTAGATATGGTCTCACACTAACAAAGATGAAACTTGAAGAAAATTTTAAATGAGGTCGTATTCCCAAGGGGCTAGTCAGTTTGGAGACATGACTGGAAAACTAGGAAGGGGGAGGAGTGGCTGTGCTGGTAAAAGAACACCTGAAGGTAAGTGTTAATAACTGAAAACTCTCAGGAAGTTGACATAATGGCATTGTAGCTTTGGAATCAGGATGATAAACTAATGATTGTAACTGCCTACAGCCCACCAGCAAGCAACACGTGGACACAGGAGGAACTAGATGACAAACAAAAGGGCCTCATAATAGTCACGAGATAGATTATAGTAAAAGCAGATAAAAGATAAATCCCGATTGTTGGTACTGGGGGACTTCAACTCGACAGCAATAGATTGGGAGGCCTACGAAGCAAGAACGGAGGAAATTTGGACAGGCAGATTTGTAAACCTCATTCTGGAGACATTCATGTATCATCACATCAAACAAGCAACAAGAATGAGGGTAGGGGATGTTCTGTCAATACTTAATGTAATATTCACCAGGAAAGAGGAAGAGGAAGAGATATTTGATATCCAGTACCTTCCTTCCTTCCTTAGGAAAGAATGATCATGTTCTGTTGGATATTAAATATGCTTTGCGATATAATCTAGAAGAGAATAGGGGACATTGAAACAGTTGATAAACTTGATTTCAAGAGAACACTACAGAGAACCTTAAAAATTCTTTAACCACTTAACTGCGGTAACCGAATATTCTCAGTCAGCGGGAAACTGCGCCAACCGAGAAAACTATTTTTTATTTTTTCGGTACCCATTCTAAATGTGTACGAGGTTGGTTGTGTGCGAAATGGACTCTTAGGACCTCCAATGAGAGGCAGCTATCTTGGAAAAAATTCCCAGAATGCCCTAGGGCTGCTGGCTGAGTTAGTTCTGAGTGAGCAACCATGGGTGGCGCATGCGCCTCTGGCTCCCAAACACCTGTCCGACGCGGTGTTGAAAGATAATGCTCTGTTGGTGAAATTCAAGCCTTATTGTTTGAAGAACATAAGGGTCATTATATTGGTGAAGCTAGGCACAATAAGGACCTAACACAAAGGTCGGATGCAAGTGATACAGCACCTATGAGGACGATACAGCGAGTGTATCCAGTTGTAGCTCTGAGTGTCACCCTTGCAATTCTATGCTATATCCAATATATTTAGATGATACATAGATGAATCGTTTTCTGCGTTCAGTGATGATGCATCTGATACAAGTAGCATAGGTGAACAGTGTTAGCGGCTTCCATGGTGGTGTTTTCCACAGATATCTTCAAGAATACCTGAATCTCTTCCTAACTGACAGACTCTTTATGGCAAGCTGAATCTCTTCCTGTGTGGGACCATACAGAGCGATCTTTTCAAGACTACCTTACAAATTGATCTTTTCCTATAATCTTTTCAATACTATCTTATGCTTTACAAGCTTGGCTACATACAACCTACAAGTACTAAAGCCAAAGGTGTACGTAAGTACGTTATTTGCAAGCACACAGAACGAAGAAACAGGAAGCGAAAATTTATCTGTACCTGGTGCAACGAGAGCGAAGTTGCGCTGTGCACCATGGACTACTTCGTTGATTATTACTCACTTCCGAAGTACTGTGTAATACAATGTGTTACTGTGTATACAGTGTGTGAAACTGTACATATTGTAATTTTAGTGAATTTTTAACAAGTAATATTGCAACAATAAACATTTATTGTGGACACATTACTGACACATGTATCACAGTTCCATGGAACATTATGAACGTTCTACTGTATACATATTGTAAAGGACACAAATATGCATCATATACGATAAAAACAAACAAATAAAACTGCATTGGAAATACATAGAACATACGTGGGGACACTAAAGCCCCGAAATCAACTCAAGATAACCTCAAGAAAGGATAAAATTCAGAGATTGAGAATGGGGAAACAAGACTACTGGGAATGAAAAAGAAATGTGTAAAACACTAAATGAACAGTTCAGTGTGTTTGTTCAAAATGAGGATTTCAGAGAAAGACCCAATTCCAAAGCACACCATAGAATACATAAAGGTTTCCTAAGATGAAGTTGAACAATTACTCATGGGGCAAGGAAGAAATAAAGCAGTTGGACTTAATGAGTTTCACCTTGGATGCTGCAAGAATGTGCAACTGAGCTGAGCATCCCACTCCAAATAATATTCCAGACATCCTTGTGCACAGGAATCTTAGCAAATGTATGGAAAAAGGGAAACATAGCACCAAAGTACTGTATAAAAATGGTAGTCGAGAGAAACGTCTAAATTATAGACTCATTAACAAGTGTGGTAGTCAAGACACTAGAAACAATAGTGTTCAGAGAATAGTGTTGAGAGAAGATTGTGGAAGTCAAAATTGTCAGTAGTTTCAAAGCATTATACGACAAAGAGTACTGGGAAGACGGGACACCATGAACGTAGCTCTCATCACGTAACTAAACTTAGGTAATAATTACAGGAATCCTCTGCCTAGATTACACTTTATGTATATTGTCAATTTTCTTGTGTGTCTGTATGTGTCAATCTACTTTCGCATTGTTTCAGAGCACCGTTTTGTAACTTTAATTATGAGGTACATTGGCCCCGATAGGTAACGAGTTTCCTGGACCTGGCACTGGGCAGTCTAATCAGTAATGATCTGTGCAAGCTCAGGAGATCTACTGAGGAGAAGACCAGAAAATAGAGATGTGTTCCTGTCCTGAGAAGTTCGCTTCTTTTCATTCCTCTCTCAAACATCCATCTGAACATTATTACTAAACATGCCCCATCACTTTACCATCATAAATGAAGTACACAATGAAGTGTAGAATATTTGGGATGGGCTCACAATGCACAAATACAATTCAAAAGTACAAATAGCAGGGATAAACAGACGAGGTGTGAGTCAATCAACTAAACACTGTTTCGTTTGGCTAGTAAATGTGACCACTAAAGGTAAACACTCGGATACTCATCCCTAGGCTAAGGAAACTTAGTAAATCTAACAAGTTTCCTGTCTCTCCCACTTGGAACCCAAAATATATGATAACTGTGAGGGAGAGAGGTCACAAAGTCACAGCATGGTCGCTGAGCGGACAGCACGCTGGAATTGTGATCCTGTGGTCCCGGGTTCGATCCCAGGCACCGGCGAGAAACAATGGGCAGAGTTTCTTTCACCCTATGCCCCTGTTACCTAGCAGTAAAATAGGTACCTGGGTGTTAGTCAACTGTCACGGGCTGCTTCCTGGGGGTGGAGGCCTGGTCGAGGACCGGGCCGCAGGGACACTAAAAGCCCCGAAATTATCTCAAGATAACCCTCAAGAAGATGGTATTTTGGCACCACATTCCACAATTACTGAATTAATCAAACTTCAAACATGAGAATATGTACCTGTGAACCTCTCCTCAAACAATTTGATTATTGGCCTCTAAATCCAAATTGTGTAGCTACAAATCTGACAATTTGTGCACATGGAAGGATATCTGTAGAATACAGAAGGCAAGTTGTCAATATACAGTGCAAGATACTACCTTGTCCAGCATGTCCTTAGTGTGAGCAGCCGAGAGGCAGAATCTCATTCGACCACCAGTTATCTTGGTGGCAGGAAAGCCAACACCCACTCCAGCAACCCCACGCTTAGTTAGCTCACGCACGAACATGCTGCAAAATGCAATTTTATATGTTGCACTAAAACACTATCTTGAGGTAGTGTTTAATCCTAAACATATCTTATATCTAAATCAACTGAAATGATACACCAAATATATAATTATGTACATAAACTATTCCAAAAATGGAAATGGATATTAAATACATAACATAATACTAAAAATATTTTATGTTCTCTTAAGTACCTATCTATATAAAAATCTGCCTGCCCTTTTTTACCCTCTTAATTGGGGAATGTGAGATTCATTGGAAAAGCAGCAAGATAGACCTGCACTTGGGTTGCCAAACTAATCAGCCATTGGTTTATGAAACTCCCATCACACACTCCTATACTTTTTACAATTTAAGATAAATATCTTGCAATTTTCCATGAGAATTTTGATCTATAGAAAATCTTTAATGAGGTATTTGCTGTAGAACCATATCATCCTATATCAGTTGGGAGGCATGAAGGAGACAATATTTTGAATCTTGGAGACGGCAAACAAAACCAAAAAGCAGCAACATCTATTTTTATGTGGTCATGTTCCTATTACTAAGTTGCTGTCAGTCTTGGTCTGTGTCGATGTTAAGCCACAAACTCCATTGGTAATAGTGATTCATTACTTTGCAGACCAAAGAAACAAGCTTTGTTTCATACTGTATTTGAAGGTGGAACTGGATGCTCTTTTGGTTGTGTTCTCCCTGGTTTTATCAGCCAAAATGGCCTCTGAGGCATTACCAAAGTTATTTATGCCACTTCTGAGGAATGCTCTGACTGATTACTATGAGGGCCACTGTTTCTCTAGTTTCTTTCACTGTTCTCACCTCTTCCTTCTCCAGAGAACAAGGTGCTCAAGATTTAGTCTGTGGTGAATGCCTCTTTTCAACCCCATTACCTGATGTTTAGGATGCAGCCAGTTTCAATCTCATCTTGGCAAGTGTCTCGGTTCTTTCGTTCTCAGTATGCTTCGGCATTTCACCTGGTTTTTTGAAGTCCCCCATTGGTTATGGTGACCTATTTTCCTTGAGTGTTCCAAACTCATGCTCAGTTGTGTACCCCATTACTTCACTGTCATTTGTGATTTGTTGGACAGAGGGTGAATTGAGGTGACACGCTCCTTTTGGGTGGTGTCTTGCTTATTCCGTCCAGAAAACTATTCAAATTAGTCACACTTGCTTCTCTGTCCTGGCTTAATACTCACATCTCCTGTCCAACACCTTAAATGACCTTGGTGTCACAGCTCAACCTGAGGTTTTGGGATGCTTCTCAGCGCTCTGATATTCTTCCTGTATGGAGTTCTTGACAATTCTGTGTAATTACTGACAGATTACAGTCTTACATAGATGGTTCACAACTGCATAGAGTATTGATGTAAACATTGTTACTGGTTCATAAATGCAGTAATTTGAGTACTGTAATTATATCATGTGCCGCTGTAACCTTGTATTACCAATAACGGGATTGTATGGGATACAAAATAAATGAACTGTACAAACTAGCTATGTATGAGTGGTTAACAAGTGGAATGTTCTGAAAGAAGCAATCATTGATGCCATTGCCGCTAACAGGTAAGCACTGATAGATAAGCATATACCCTAAGTAGTAATTACTGAAATGTCTAGTTTGAGATAAGATAAATTTATCCTAATCATAACCATCACATTGCAAAAGAAAACTCATATTTCAAAATAACAATTCTTTCCAAACAGTATGTAATTGATGTTTTTGTGAATGTAGAGTAACACAAAGTGGAGATGACACATTACACATACAGCACAATTAAAATCACTTACTATAACTCCTTGATTCAATTTCTCAATTTCTTTTTTTGCTATGCACCCCATACCCATCCGGTGGGCGATGGTGGAAAGGGTTACAGACCCATCCGGTGGGCGGTGGTGGAAAGAGTTACAGAGGCACATAATTGGTTCAGAAACTGAACCCCATAGTTCGTTTAGCTAAGCAAGTTCAAACAATCTTTTGAAGCTTGTTACACAATTGTTAATGTTATATATAAATGTACATAAAAAACAATCATTTTCCCAAATACATATTTATATATACATCACACACAGAGATCACACTAACGTGATGCATCAAATGAACAAATCTGATTTGTACATATATACATACATACATATATACATATTACATACATACATATACACATATACATACATACATACATATACACATATACATACATATACATACATATATACATACATATATACATACATACATATACATTATATATATATATATATATCTATATCTAATCTTTTTATATCACAAGTGATTCAAGAAGAGTCTCAGAACAGTCACTATAAAAAGCACTTTACATCTATGGTGAATCAGAGTTACTAGTCTTGCTGCACACCCACCCAACTGGGCGGCAGCTTTACAGTCATGTGCAGGCTGCACCTACAGTAAACAAACTGTGGATACTTTGCAAAGATTCTCAGCAGTATATCATTATGAATGAAGTATTACACATTTCTTGGACTCCATTGGTGGTGGTATCTCTGAATTCCACGATTCGTTTCACATTCCATTATATAATGACTCAAAGTATGCGAATAGTTTTGTTGACAAGAGTTTACATTTACTCAAATTTAAATCAGCAAACATTGCAAACTCCCAGGGATATTTATAGCCGAGCCTAAGCCCAGCAGTGGTATAGCCCATCCTCCGAATAGACAGTATGTTTTAATACTAAACGTAATAAGTACAATACTGACTATTTAAACATAATAAGTACAATACTGACTATCGATATACTGTAGTACGTAAATACACTTAATCGCCAGCGTTGCACCAAAATATTGTGAATATTAGAGTTTACCTGAATGGCTGTATAGAAAACCATGACCTAACCTTGGGAGTGTAGGAGGACAAGCATGTAAATAGCATTTATTGCTTCTTAATTACAATTAGTACTTAACCTATAGCTATAATGATATTACAATTTTATAAACTAATAAAACAAAACTGAAGTCTTTCAATAAATTATAAAGTAACTCATGATATTTTCAAATTTTGTATAAAATCTCTATTGTTTAATAAAACTGAAAAAGAAATTCATTATATTTAAAACTTGTGTATCTAGAATTGAACACGAAAACTTCAACCTAAAAATTTTGAGTATCTCAACAGAAAATGAGAAGAATGTATGGGGAGGTAAATGTACCAACACAATTAAGGGTATTTATGTACTATGCAGACAGTCAGGAATGTACTTATTATTATTACATTTAGTATTAAAAGTACTGTCTATTCGGAGGAAAGGTTGCAGTGGTAACATCAAGAAGTCTGCTAACCTTATTGGATGACCCATAGACGTGCAGTTCTTCCTGCATAACAGAATGATGATAGATGGAGTAATTGGTGTGAATTTCACTTTGCTTCAAGTCTACGAGATTTTGTTGATGTTCTCTGAATATTACTGCCTGCAGACTGCTCAAGGGCAGTCCAAGATGGCAATCAATTCCATTTTTATAAGCAAAAGCTTATATTTGGCTAACTCATCAGTTCTATCATGCATTCGGAGACCAATATGGGAAGGAATCCACTCCATGAGAAGTTCATAATTCATACACAACACTTATTAACCATAACAAATCAATATCTTACCTGTTGTCAAATGACATTTGGCTGCACTAATTATAAAACATGTACTCCATACTCAAATCATCAAAGGAATGCTCAAATTTGAACGCTAAAAGTCACTTGTAAAGTGTCTCTCAAAGTATCGGATCCAATCCAAAACTTTTGAGAACTGCAAACTTACCCATTTGCATTATGATATATTGATCCCAAAGACTGGTAATATTTAGCCTTGAGCTAAATTTATAAATTACTGTAGTTCTGTCAAAGTCTGTTAACATCATTTCCACTTTCTTTTGAGCATGAGCGTGTGACTCTGACATACAAATTTGACCTCTGACCCAAAAGCAATACATTTGCAAGCTTTATGACTGGTTATTGTAATATAAACCAAATGACCTTTATTGTGGTTCTGTTTATTTTTGAGAATAGCAATGTGTGAGGGGGGCATCACAGTTGACGTTGACATTTGGTAATTCGTCTGACAGCTTTCTTACCAAGAAAGATTCCCAAAAGCTCTTCATGCAAGCCCAATGTCTTCAGAATATCTTTTGAAAAATTTATAATTGTATCACTATTTGTTATTTACATCAAATATGTAGAATACCAAAAATAGAAATAAATAATGAATGCTCAACCAATTTTGAATGAGAGAGTAATTTAGAACTTCCTCCTTACCTGGATATTCGTAATCTAACTCACGGTGCTGCTCATTATGGCGACTTGTCAGTGATACTAAAGCAAATTAATCAGGACACTCTTACACGATTCCTTTTCACTACACCATTGTATACTTCAGCCACATACTCCTACAACAAAACCACTCTGCTACTGCCTGAAGCTGTGTCTTATACATACAACCTTTCCCGTCTCTCTCTCTCTCTCTCTCTCTCTACACACACATTGTTAGCAAACTATGATTCATCTTTAATTCTCAATGCTTATGCCACTTAATTATTATAATATCCATGTATCTTTCTTAAAAATGTGTATAACTCACTCATTCACAAACCCTATTTGAAATTTCATCAATGTTAGCAGCTAATTTCCACTAGAGCTCAAATACCTCACTAAAGTTATACTAAATAAGGTGAGTTAATTGAGTCAATAGATTAACAGTTCATTATAAAGTCTGCCTGACATGTAAACACATTTTCAACACTAAATTGAAGCGTGCACAATACTGCCCCAATTCTTTCATAATCTGCACAAATACCAATGGAGATGGTTGAGAGCAAAGTTGCCAGGTTTATTTAAAGTCTTTTGCTTGAGAGAGAGTTACAAAGCTTTAATTCATTGCCTGACACCAGTCAGTAAGTGGAGTTGTGAGGAGAGAGTGTGTACTTGCACACACTCACAAGTGAACACCCAAGGACACTCGGTGCTACCTGTGTGGAATAAGATTAATGGCACTAGGAAAACTGCTACACTCATCATCAAGCAACATCTGTTCTATGCACATATTAAACATATATAAACATATATGGGGTATATATTATATATATACCCATCACTTGTTATAGTGTCATTAGAGACAGCATTTTGCAAAGTGTAAAGTTCAGTCTCGTTTTATTGTTGAAATACATTCAGTAGCGAAGAGAAATTCAGTCGTGAAACCAGCAAAGTTCATCGGATGAAACTGCATGTTTCTCAGGAGAAAAATCGCCATCAATAATTCTTGCTTTGATACCTGTAATCACACCACCCTTTAATTTAAATATAAGCAACGTAAAGGAATTTACTATTTTATGAAAAAATTCCCTCTTAATTAACATAGCCCGGAATTTTCTTACTTTCATTTGATGGTACTACATAGCCTTCCCGGTTTGGTGCCTTCTTTTGATAATTACTTACTTACTTTTCAGGTGTGCCTATATTTCTTACATTTATTTTGCTTATATTATTTATATAATTTTCTTCCTTGCAACTGCTAGTTTTAGATAGTTCTACCTTTCTTTCAGGTAATTTCCTCTTGGCTTGGACCAATCTTGTGTCTCCGGACTCCTTGTGCCTCTACTAAGTAAACCAATCCTGCCTCTGATCTCCAGTAGGCTTTAATGCCTCTCAAAGGCCTGGTGGGAAATGATAGGTTAGAAGCTATCTAGGCAGCTAGCTACAGGAAACCACCGAAGGACCTGCCAGAAAGACTCATTTCTTTACATTCAATGCTGCATTTTTTCTTCACGGGTAGGGGTGACAATTTTGACGACAGCAGCCAATATTTCTGGATTCAGTAAAAATCATGCTATATAAAGGTTATTATATAAGTAATATGAATAAATATTATAATTAATACTGTATTTAGAAATAAATATTTAAAGGCTAAAGTATAAATTCGAAAACAACTTTGGCAAAGATCACATGAAGTGACATTCAAATCTTACCTACTGGCAACTCTACTCTCTTAATACCCTTCCATTACCAGTAACTTGCCATTGTCACCTTTACTTACGAGATTTTAGGAATGAGGTACAAGAGCATTGGAACGACAGGAGAATCATCATGGCCATAAACAATGAATCCCATCTGTCTAAGGCGCTGACGAAAATACTTCACATTCCGAGACAGCTGTTGAATACGTCTGCGACCTAGATCAGGGGGCAGGAAATAATAAATCAAGAGTCAAACCAAACATTTCCCTTGTTTCATGAGGGTGTGGAGAAAGAAAAGAGAAGCTCCTATAGCATATCAGCAAAGCTGCTGATAGTACTTACCCATAACCAGCCTTGTAATAGACGGCGCTGCAACACACAAACATCAGCTTTTTCTCAATATTGCAAAATCAAGTCAGAGAGATAAGCCAAACCAAAGACTAATTGTATAAGATTAGAAGAATATAGAAGTTTAGATAAAAATGATATAAATGTGCATCAAACAAGCGTATTCCCACACACATAAGCAGGATGGATCAGGCAGAATTTTCTCCAATCAGGGAACATTAAAATTAATTATAAACAACAACCTGACAGAAAAAAAGTTATCGTAGAATTCTCACACGAGTGAAGAATTTTCTTTATACTGCAAATTATAAATATTAACAGGCTTGGGTTACACCTGGTAACAGTTAACCTATGTCAATATGATACAATTATTAAGAAATGAGAAATAATCATCTGAGCGTTGACTTCAAGAATATAAGAAACACCATTAAGATAAAATGAAATGTTTGCATTCCAGTTAACCTCACTGGAAAAAAAGGGCCACAGAGAGGAAAATTCTTCCTTTTGACCATACTGAGTATTTGCTATGGTAGTGTTCAAGTAGGTGACCACAGCCAGCCCACATTCTACCATTGAAGTCACATTAACAATCAAGAAAAAGTAGAAAGGACATAAATGAAGGTATTTAGACAATGGACATATGAAAATCTAAAAGAGCATCAAGTTAAAAGGCAACTAAAAATATCTACAAATGTCCTGCTTTCAGTGCCAAAAAAGGCTGCATCCCCTATTCTACTTAAGGAGTGACAAGACGAGAGAACTGGCACGGGCCAAGCCACAGCAGGAATGTGAAAGTACTCACGCTGTGACCGCTGGAAGATATAGTAATACTGGCACCACAGGGGAATCCTCACTGCCGTACACTATCAACCCCATATGCTTTACTCTCCGGCGGAAGTATTTCGTATTTCTAGCAAGATGATTTATTCGTCGTTCACCTACACCAAGTGAAGGTATAAGGATCGGGGTTAGTGGCAAGAGCAAGAAGACTGAATTTAGTAAGCAAGTTTGAAGCTGCTGTGGGCAAGAAAGAGTAACACACAAGATGAGTTAAAATATAAGGTTCCCAAAAGACAAATTTGTTAGAATTCATTCCATCAACTACTACTGAACACAGATGCTTATATATGGTCTAGAGAAACTGACACCAAAGACAATCAACAACAAATAAAAATTGTAAACAATAAACCTTAATAATAGTGGTTAATGTTATTTAAGTCAGAGTACAAGGCATATACATATACAAAGAAATGGTGAATAAACAATGGGTTAAAATAATAGCTGTAGTTGTTTCTTATCACAAATGATTGGGTCATGACCCCTCATAGTTAATGATGGGATCATAAATTTACTAAATCCTTTACTAAACCCACAGTTTATGTTATCCTAGTCTTCAGGGTTGGAAATTATTATATTATATATTATATAATAATATATTATATGTATGTACTCACCTAGCTGTGATTGCAGGGGTTGAGCTTTGGCTCTTTGGTCCCGCCTCTCAACTGTCAATCAACGGGAGTACAGGTTCTGGAGCCTATTGGGCTTTATCAAATCTACATTTGAAACTGTGTATGGAGTCAGCCTCCACCACATCACTGCCTAAATAATAATAATAACGTATATGTATGTATGTATATCAGCTCATCCTTTTGTTTGGGTAATACCTATAGTAACGATGAGGACCATAGTATATATACCGGTGTACGACGAAAGTAAAAAGTAGAAATCTGAACTACTGAGTTGGACAAACTGGGAAAATATTTTTTACGTGCGTTGCTTTGACAAACTAAACTAACCTAACCTTCCTAGGTATAATACACGAAATCTGAGGCCTAATTTAATCCATACGTGTACTATACTAGGCCTAGGAATATTTAAGTTTGTTTTCTAGCTGTATTTGTTTGGTTATGGTAATATGTTATAGTAATATGTTTTCTAGCTTCTTTATCTCTTGTATGGCTTTCTTCTACTATCTCAGTACGTCTTGTCTAGTATGATCACTTCAACTTCTGCTCTATTTCTTCAATCTTCTTGTTTAAATTATCATTTCTCTGTTGGAATAGTTGTGTCTGCTTAAGCATTAACGTTACTGTTTTCCTTCTTCTCCAGCGGGAAACACTGTTACCTTCTCTTACTAAGCTGATCTTCTTTCTGATCTTCTGCAAAGGAACATACTTCAAGCAGACTTTGTACTCTTATTTTCTTTTCAGCAGACAATTGTTCTGTTCATTGCGTGGTAGTTTTGTTACTTAAGATGGTTTCTCAATGGATGTTTGCTAGTTCTGTTTATTTTTCCCCAGTTAATTCTTATTGTTAAAATTGTATTGAATAATCCTTCTCACTTGTTAAACACTTTTTAGACATATTATAAGACATTTTACTCTATAAGACTCACCTTCTAGACATATTATAAGTATTGATGTTAGTTTGAACTTCCATGAGCTTGTGATCTGAGACTGTAGTATCTTAGATATAATGTTCATGATTATTTCTTCATTGCTTATGACCTGTGATTGGTTATTTCCAGGTTGATTTCTTGTTATAATGCTACTGTTTGTTATTCTCCATTTTAAACTGGGTAGATAAAAGTGTCCAAGGAAGATAATAGCTGGCAGTGAAGAGTATGAGAGAGGAGAGAGAACTACAGGAGGGTCAGAGGCCTCCCTACAGAATCAACTAAAGGGGTAAGTTAGTGAATGAGATGATGCAATCAGTGAAATGCATAGAAGAAATGAAACAGCTCATACACCTCAGGAGGTTAAACACAGGAGATGCCCGTCTTCATTTCAAGTGACAAAACAACTGCCCCACATTTTAAGTAATGCATCTCCAGCGTTAAACGCGGTATGCATGTACGTTAAAATAGTAACACACACAATTTTTTCAAATGCTAGAAAATTTTGTCCAAAAGATGTTTGGTATAAATTTATTTTCAAAAGGGAAACATGACCATATTTTCAATTATGAATCTATGCTTTAGGCACAGTTAACACTGCTCACTTTAATTATACCAAACAGAAAAAATTACTTATTAATAATAGCTGTAAATTTGGTTTAAATGAATGTAGTTTGAATATGGGTTTTAATACAGGTATTAAAAGAAATATAAAAGCATGCAAACCTTCACTAGTGCCATCTTTCCCCATAATGATGGTCATTGATGTGATAATCTGCTGGGCTACTGGAGGAGGCATTGATGAAGCATACACCTGAGCATGACTGGTCACACGAAGGTAGTTGATCAGATCCTTGAAAGGATATTTGAAATATTACACTTTGCACATTCATCTATGAATGGGAAAACATTAACAACTCTCTCTCTCTTGTTTAAAGTGTAATGTCTGCCACAAGCATAATTGCAATCAACCCCCAAAAAATGTTTTTCATCATCATTCCTATTATCACAGAGTGTGTGTGTGTGTGTAGCTAAACAAGGAAACTTGCAAACGTATGATACCAAGGTCAATCACTAATTGTGCACAATTCATTTAAAGACTGGAGGGGAGCCGTGTCCACTCGTAGAATTCACAACACACTTGAGTGGTCATAAGCAAGTAACTGAGGTGCTGGGTTGAACCAGGCTTTGACACTCAATATTTACACTTAAAATCTTACGTGGTAGTCGTCATTTTTTTTTATCTCACTGATAACATATTAAATGTTACCAAAAGGGTTGATGGATAAAGCAAATGTCTACACTATTCATTTATTCAGAATTTACTGAATAATACAATAATCACTTGTCCTGCTTCAGCAAGCAATCATCTAAATCACTATGCTTGGGGCAAACATTTCATCTATCATTTTGATACAATGAGTCAGAGCTTTAATAAAGTGCTCATACAGTGAGGTTGGTAAACAAACCAGAACAAGTTGAGAGCAGATATGACAGAGCACTAGAATGCTCACTCACTCCCTGTACGCACAGAAAGGCAAGCACTAAAAGGCGAAGTAACAATACTGTGAGTGATATTGTAACTTGGGTTCAAAAAGATTTCTGAATCTAAGTTCCAATAATTAATCACAAGTTTATAAGTTCACTTCCTACAGAATGACATCCTCTGCACATATGAAAATTAATATTTCTAAAACTGAAATCCTATACTGTACATTTAAACCAACCTTTGATCCGGCAATATAGCCTCCTGCAGCCCCAAAACTCTTGGTGAAAGTTCCCATGTGGATGTCAACGTCCTTAGGATCTACGCCATAGTAATCCACAACTCCACCACCATGAGGGCCAAGAGCACCTATGCTGTGAGCTTCATCCACATACAAATAAGTCTGCAACAGAAAGATTACAGATCTATAATGATTAAAAATTATTAAACATCTAGGCAATATAATCACAACAAATCAAAGGAATTGACAATATATATTGATGAACAAAAAATTTAGCATTTAGACTAATGAAACTCTTCTAACTGGACAATGCCTGGGTAGCTTTCCTCAGCTTACACACTGACAACTGATGAACTAGCTGATCATGCCGGGTACCTGTGAGACACACTACCCACTGGGGAAAAGGGCCTTTGTAAACCTCCTCTGGTTACCTATGCTAGGCAGTAGTACAAAGGATCAAGACCACCTACTGAGATGATTGCCTGTAAATGCATCAAAAGTTCACAAAACACTCGACTTTACTATGAGAAATGTTTCGACAAGTATCAAACTATCAACAGCAAACGCTTGACAACTAAACTAACAAGCATATGAACTTATTTCCCCCCTCATTTACCATCAGGTGGTAACACATTCCACACCTGGGCCCGGGTGACACCACCACCCATTCTTGACTCCATGCCCAATCTACCATCACAGGGATGAAGACATAGGATTGGAATTGGCAGCTAATAATGCCCAGAAAGGCATTATTACATTCAACACTATTTTTGGGCAGCTTCCTATGTAGCTCTCTTTTGTTTCCTCACCACGGCACCTGACCCGGGGCAGCAGAAGAGTTGACGACAGGACCTAGAAATAACAAGGAGCGCTGATCTCTGGTATAAATTATGCAGCCCAGTACTGCAAACTGTTCAAGTGGTCGAGAGAGTCAGTAGAAAGCAGGCTAAAAATGCAGGGTTAGATCTCCTATCACCCTTGGACAAAATACTGCCTATGGATACATTGGAGAAAAATACGAAGAAAATACCATGACTCAAAATTTCAGATTCTACTGCTAGGGCTTACATTGTACAATTTGTGACAACTGGGCATTAGAGCAGCACAATCCAGATACAGGATGGAAACAGTGGGCACCAGCAAAGAAGTTTGACATTGCCGGCAGACAACAAAGCACTGCAATCACTGGCAACAACATGTAGTGAACCCCTGGCTAAATAAACCAAAAAGAAGATTCTTATCAGAAAGCTGATGATTCATTCCCAGTTAGGAAAGAAATAAGAATCTGCAACTGGAAAAACAGAATCCAGGATGTCATGTCAGCCCAGGACATGTTACCAAAGACTGCAACTGCAAGTGCAACGAGCTGCAACACCCAACCATCAGGGAGGGTGCCTACAAGGTGTATTAAACTAATATTAGGAATGTCAAGACAGAGTACGAAGAAAAGATGCAATAATAAAATAATGAGATGTAATATCGAAAAATGTTAAGTAGTACGGAAGAGGACCAACGAGTCCAAGAAAGAACTGGAGGCAAGCCTCACCTAGACGACAGACGTTCCAACAATATTGGAAGAATCGAAGATCTTCCCTAACCTTCAAGATCTTGAGAAGCAAGTACAAAAACACGGAGGCTCACATGGGCCCAGTGGCAATAAAGTTCAGTAAACAGAACTCCCCAAATATTGGGGAGTTCTGTTTACTTGTTAGTTTTCTGTAGTAGTTTCAACCAGATTAGGGGTTTGTTTTGAGGCGTCTACCTTTCTGGGTGCCCGACCCGGTCGATGGCAAACATAGAATGCTCCACACAAATTACACTTAGGTAATTACACATGTGCATTTCTATAGGCCATTGCTCCTCGTGTCTCTCTGAGGGGACCAGGTTCTGGCTCGTGGTCCCTAGTAGGCCTAGAAGTACATTCACACTGACTGATGCCAAAGTTTAATAATATATATATCAGCCTGGATAACTCCGGGGAGCCAAAGGGGCTCCCCCAGAAACGGAATGAAAAAATGTGCAATATTTTGTTATCAAATTGTAAAGGTGGACAAAATGTAACACGTGCTCATCATTAACACTCCTCTTTTTAGCAGTACACTGTACAACTAAATCCTACTCTCTTCACATGGAAGGATATGTTTAAATCGGAAAATGTATTCATAAAACAAATATAGAATATATATCTTGCCTTGTATTTGTTCTTGATTCTGATGAAGTTCGGAAGATCACATATACTGCCTTCCATGGAATAGATTCCCTCCACTACAATTAATGCTTTTTTCCAGGGGCGACGAGTCCTTGGATGTCCATACAACAAGGCTTCACGCAGCTTCTTCTCCAAGTCTTCACTGTCATTATGTCGAAATACCTGTAACATTTTAATAAAATATATACTGTACTTGTATTAGTTTTGCAAACACAAAATATGTAAGTAAATGTTTTTAGATTTCATTAAAATACTGACACTATAATCCTCAAAGTGCAGTCATCTAGTGCAAAGCTGTTATTGCATAGTTGTCGTTGGTGCAGGGAAACACCACATAACTCTACAGTATAGAACTCCCCAGCAGTCATGTGTGGCTACAAAATAAGAGAGTTGGATGGCTACAACTCCCAGTCTCTTATCATCATACAATTGTAGCACTTACCTGGGCCAACATAAAGAACTTAAGTGTATACAGTATATTTATTTTGGCAATTTTTTTATTTTTGTATACAAATTCCTTACTCTTTAATATAAAAATTAAACAAAATTATATTTTTTATTTTGCCATGGGCTCGAATCACATGATATTGCTGACAGACATCAGAATGCTGTCTAATGATACTACAGTACAAGAATATCAGGTAAATTATCTTCACTTACTTTAACAGTGGCCCCAGAAAGACGCAAGCCAAGAATGAGCGATGCGTGGTTAAATTCATCTGACATCACTAAACAACCCGGTCCCAGAAGTGAAGGCAAATTAAGCACATTGGTTGCAAAACCCATGCCAAAGGTGATGGCATCTTCAACGCCAAGAAATTCTGACACAAGCCTCTCAAGTTTGCGGTGGATCTCCAAGGTGCCTGTAAGTAATACATCAGTTAAAACATGCATTACTGTTCACTGTTATGGTATCTATTTATATTAAGGCACAGGAAAAATGTCACCAATCAAGTGTAAGTGACCAGCAGTTGTATGATAGTTGTTACCTTAGGCCAACTTTGAGTTTTACTCTTGCAGCCTGACCGAGAGCCAGGCTTCTCTGCTGATAACTTATTCTACGAAGCTGTAGCTAGTTGTGGACCGCAGCCCACATATCCAGCAGTGGACTGCAACCCACATATCCAGCAGTGGACTGCAGCCCACATATCCAGCGGTGGACTGCACCCCACATATCCAGCGGTGGACTGCACCCCACATATCCAGCAAGGGACTGCAGCCAACATATCCAGCAGTGGACTGCAGCCACATATCCAGCAGTGGACTGCAGCCCACATATCCAGCAGTGGACTGCAGCCCACATATCCAGCAGTGGACTGCAGCCCGCATATCCAGCAAGGGACTGCAGCCCACATATCCAGCAATGGACTGCAGCCCACATATCCAGCAGTGGACTGCAACCCACATATCCAGCAGTGGACTGCAGCCCACATATCCAGCAGTGGACTGCAGCCCACATATCCAGCAAGGGACTGCAGCCCACATATCCAGCAGTGGTCTGCAGCCCACATATCCAGCAAGGGACTGCAGCCCACATATCCAGCAAGGGACTGCAGTCCACATATCCATCACAGCCTCTCCAATATCCTCTTCAAAATTTAAGCTTTTGTTCTGGCAATATTTTTCACATTTGCCGGAAGGCTGAAAAATTGTGGGCCTCTCTGGCTGTGCCAAAGGCGTCTCTACTCTTTACTTGATCTATTCTAAATTTTCTACCATATCTCTAGCTATTTTGCTGCACAAACTGGAGTAAAACCAGTGCCAGGATTGAAATTGAATTGAAATTAAAATAAGTTTATTGAGGTAAAATACACACAAAGGGATGAGGTAGCTCAAGCTATTCTCACCCCGTTCAGTACGTGTTCATACATATATATAGACACATCAAACAATAAACATATTACCGAACATTCTGAGAGATAAACATATATATTTCTAAGTGCCAGGATTCATCAAGCATTTTTGTGTGTTCTTTTATATTTTTTCTCAATCATAGAGGCTCACTCTGTATCTATTAAACAGCTGACTAACCTGGAAACTTCGCAATTCACTGCTGTTATTGTTTCAGCCTACCTTGAGGTGCTTCAAAGCTAAAACTTTTAAATAAAAAAACAAGAGTTGCCATGACCGAGGAAAGATTTATGGGTATCATAAGTGGACTTGTATGTGGTTCATGAGCCCATGCCATGGTCTCCAAATTTATTTCATGTATATATTGACATCTCTCATGACTGATCCAGAGAGTATATTTTGAATGCTTTGAGCTGATCCCAGTAATTTAGGCATTTCACTGTGTCAAAGAAGCCATATTATGTGGCAAGAGTAGTATATGTACATCAGATAAGGCTAAGAACAACACCCCTCACTGTGGCTAATAAGGCCAAGTTATTAGGAAAACCATGATTGGAACTGGAGGAGGAAAGACATTAGCAAAGGAGTAGTCTTGGAAAGAAAAGGACTCTTGGTCCTTTGGTTCCGTGGTGTTTCTGACAAAAACACAGGAAGCAGATCATAAACCCCTGTGTCTGCCCCTAGCAGACACTCGGGGTGAGCCGCACCTAATGCAAACTCATAAAGGGAAGGAGGGAACAAAAAACCCCTTCTCTGCAGTAATAACCCCTGCCCAGAAGGCACAAGGGTACAAACACGGTCAAAAGAAGCCCAAACACTCCAAATGGACTCCCCTCGAGCCCCGGCAGTCCCCGACACAGGCTTTGGGAAAGAGCCCTCAATCCATGTCCACCACCCCTGAAAGAAAAGGCAGAATTCAGGGGAAAAGCTTCAAAGAAAGGGGTCTGCTGGGTCAATCCAGAAGCCTCGGCGAGAAATTCGGGCTCACACCTCACCCAAATCAGAAGAGGCAGCCCCCGAAGCCACCCTTGATAAACCCGACCCTGACTTGGAAACCCTCAGATGCTTGGGAGCTGGAACCAAGGGAAGGGGGAAAACAGGGCGAACTACGACCACCTGGGAATGAAGCGGGGCATAGACAGAACCAAGGTTGAAGTGACCAACTCACCCACATCTGAGTCCCTAAAACCAAAGTGGGGCAGTGCCAAGTCTCCAACCAGGCAACCAATCTAGCCTGTTACAATAAAAAGAATTGCGCATGCAATACAGCTGCTGCCTGATTCTTTGAGATCCTCAGACAAGGAATGGATAAATTGAAGCACAAGCGAGGAACAAGTCCTGCAAGACTCCGAGTAGTAGGTGTCACCGCCCCAACAGGAAGCATGACGGAGACAGTACGGATGATCGTCTCCCTCAGGCAGGACTAACGAAAAACTTCAACTTTGCACAAGGCGAGAGAGGACTTGGAAGATGCCTCCATAGTACCCCCGAGTCCACTGGGGTTTTTCCAGGGCCCGTAGGGTGAGTATTTCTGGGTTCTTTGCCAGTTGATGGCAATTATGACATACTTTAAATGTATAGTGCTTGTAGGCCATTGCTCCCTGCGCCTCTCTGGGGGGACCAAAAGGACTTCTGTGACTGATGACCCCAAACTAATATAGCACATATCAGTTTGGATAGCTTCAGGGAGCTGACAGGGCTCCCCCCACAGAAAATCCTTTTGTACATCAACATACAATATGCAATACAGTGGTGTCTCGGTTAATGAATTTAATCCGTTCCAGCACCGAGCTCGTCATGTGAAATACTCGTCTTGCGAAACAACAACAATGTCTTCTGAGGCTTCCGAGAACCAGCTGGAATGCTAGGAAGCACCACGTGGTTTTCTCGTTAACCGAGCGGAAGTTCGTCAATCGAGACAAATTTTGTGAGTGGCTCGCTTGTTACCTGAAATGCACATAGATGAGGCTGCTTGTCACCCAAGGTTCCTCTGTATCTAAATCTAATATTTACACACATTAATTTAAAATATGTATGAATGTCCACAATGAGTTTCAGAAAGACTGATGATGTCTAGTACCAAAGACCAGATCTAGTACCAAAATTAATCCACTTAATATGGAATGGCCTATCCATCATACAGCATCCAAGACTATTGAAGAAGAGGAACACTCAAAAATTTTGTGATGCAAATATTCTGATAAATACACAAAAAGATGGACAGATAATTCTTCAACTTGCCTAGCTCTATGCAAGGACTGCACGTTGTAAAACCAAGTTCCTTTGTAACTTGTTCAGCTGCATCATGGCACGGACCTTTGTTCTCGGCAAATCCAAGATAGTTATATGATCCAGCATTAATGCACTTGATAATTTTGCCCGTCATTCTGAAAAAGTACACATTAAATGTAATATTAACAAAACCTAAGTAAGCCATGATTGGTAATTCATGTCTCTTCCCATCTAAAACAGGTTAAAATATTAATAATAAACACTTGCAATAATAAAATAATTTGCATTAATCATAACCCAGGTTTAGCTCTGGTGCTGCACACCTGGGACCAGATTCACGAAGCAGTTACGCAAGTACTGTACTTACGAACCTGTACATCTTTTCTCGATCTTTGGCGGCTTTGCTTACAATTATTAAACGGTTAATGAGCTCCGAAGCACCAGAAGGCTGTTTATAACAATAACAACAGTTGATTGCGAAGTTTTCATGCTTGTAAACTGTTAAATAAATGTAACCAAAGCCATCAAAGATTGAGGAAAGATGTACACGTTCGTAAGTACAGTACAGTACTGTACTTGCATAACTACTTCGTGAATCTGGCCCCTGTTACATGTGACAACCCCATGGTGCACATAAAACAAAATATTCCCCCAAATATTTTCTTTCTAGCAGTGTTAAAAAAATATGTATGTGAATTACTTGACTGAGATAGAGTGAGGAAGTTTAGCAATTTACGGACGGTGAGTGAGAAGTCATCCCGTGGTGTTTGCCCCGGTAGCTGCATGGGGTGGGAGATGCCACGGAGATATTATTAAATATTACAGTAATTTCAATGACTCTGAATGTTTTTTTTTTCAGTAATATTATTCAAAAGTGCATAATCTGAGAAAATTATGTAACCAAATGTATGGAACATCTGTATACACAAAAATATGGAGTACATATTAGTGACTCATTTATTATATTTTTGGAAAATAAAACACTGTTTTTGCTGTTATTATACTGTATATACATTATATACAGTCTATAACTAATCTACATTTTTTATGCTACAGTACGAACCACTAAGTATTTTTGGCGAGTGTAATAATTTTATAACTGGTTATCCGAGTTCATTCTAGTCATGCAGTGTTTGCATGAAATTGTAACAGCACACATTGAATATATGTGTATAGTAATTTTCTTCATATTTTAAATGTTTTTATTATGGTTTTTCAAGTATCATGATGCAATGGGCTGTCATTAGTTGACAGCATTAAACATTATTTGTATCACAGAACGTGTAGAATCTTGATATAGACACATTCATGTATCTAACAGGAGTTCAAATTTATTCTTTGATCAACAAAACATTAGTTTTTGCTGTTATTACACTATATCCACACATCATATACATGTTTATGCACAGTTACGCACTACTAAACAGACCTGGTGGGACTGATAATTTCATTACCACGCTCCAAGGTCAGCCTAGAACCACACATCTTGCACCAATGTTTAAGTACAAGCATTGAACATATTTTACTTTATTCACATTTTCATTGACATTACCTTGCCTTTTTTTCAAGTGAAATGATGCATTGATTTGTCAATTATGTTATTTGTATCAGAGAACATGTAGATTCTATGTATGCACAGATTTATGTGTTACTAATACTGTAAGAGCACAATAGTATATTCTTTGAACAATAAAACAAACAGTTTTTGCTGTTATTACACTACATACACGTCATATACTTATATATGATACAGTACAACCTCGATTCGGTGTACCTGTACTCCGATTCGGCGAATCTCCGGCTAGGTCGCACACTTTTCAGGCCAGATTTACTAATCGGTTTTGTTGAACCCTGGTTCGCCGAAGTGGGGGATGTGCGGATTTGCTTACAATATAGGGACAGTGTTCAGGGGCAAAACTTTCCTATTACCTGTATATCACGAGTTACAATTAATAATTCCTTCATATGACAAGTTGGGTCACACAAGTGGACCACACAAGTGAACCTTATTAACCAAACACCAGCCAGGAACCGTATTAACCAAACACCAGCCAGACTCGTTCACACAAGAAGTGAACCATATTAACCAAACTCTAGCCAGACTCCTTCACACAAGTGAATGACTGAGTTTCCATGATTTTCGTTCACTTATCTATCCTAAATCTGCTGTCCATTTTAAAGACTGAGGAACAATTTTATTTATGTTATTATTTTTAAAGCTGCATCTCTTACGAATCCATCCCTGAACTTGTTTGGCTGTGCATAATAGAAAGTTGAATTACATATTCGTACATTGAAACATTGATTGTAACCATGATATATATATATGTGCTTCAGCCTACAGTTTAGACCTATTGTCTTGTGTATGATCCTCTGTGCTGTGTGACAGTGAATACCAGCATTATCCTCACTCTAATAAGACTTAATTGAATTCCTCAGATTAGCCAAAATTGTAATTAATTTTTGTCAAGAAAGATATTAACAATAATACTGAATTTTGGCACACCTATCTTTGTAAAATAATTTAAAGGCTGAAGTGTGAGAAGCTAGCTACATGTGGTGAAATCTCCTTATGGACATTTTCCTGTCATGAAACAACATGACTGAGGGGTGGACAGATATAGGGAATAGTGTACTGTAAACCTCACTTGGTTTTCCTTCGATGTGTCGTCATAGTTCAGTGACCCATGACTTTGAAAGTTTCGGATTAATAAATCTTTTCTAAAACAGGTGTTTTAATAGATTTTTATTATCCTAATTATAATTCTAAATTAAATATAAAACAAAAAACTGTAATATGATAGACATCTGCTATTTGAGAAATTATTTATGTTATTGGCTCTAGCTTTCAAAACAACTCGAGAACGGCTGGACTAGTCTATTCCCCTGTACACACAGCAGTATGTTAAGCCCACTGGTAGGTAGCCACTGCGATATGTGCATTATATGCAGGCATCGTCACATCAAACAGACTAAACTTCCACACTAGTCCCAAACAAAATTTTTAATTGGCTCTAAATATGGCTAACATAAGTATTTTATGTGACAAGTCAAAATTAAGACACTCGATATACTAAATAGGAATCACTCTAAAAAGAAAATGATTACACGACAATAAGACATACCTCAATTTGCCACATCTTATATATTAAAACACTTAACTAATTCTAGCCATAATCTAACATTTTCACAAGAACAAAATACTGTACAATTGAATTACTTGAAGTAAAGTTTCTTAAGCATACTCTGAAGACAATAAACTATGCATACATGTACTTACTTCATAGTCCAACCATAGTCAGGCGTGTATCGCTCCATAAGATCAATTTCTGCACCAGGAACACTGCAGATTGTTCGGTTCCAACAGTCTTGAATACGGCGGTACACATTGCGAGTGTAGAAGCTCTCAAACCCAATGTACAGTGGGACATATCCCTGTTTAGATAAAATTGCTGTGAAATTCAATTACAATTTAGGAAACAAACTAATTCATCTTACAAAAATGAATTATAAATAAATAGGCTAATAAAAAAGCAAAACAAAAGAAAATGAGAGCTCACTCATAACATAAAACATACCTCAAACATTACATAAAGCACAACAATGTAAGCATGGATAAAGAAGTCTGATGCACATATTTTACAAATCACGATGCAAAAAATGATATAGCAAATCAAGAGTAAAGAAGAATTATTGTATATATCTGACACTAACATACAATTATTTAGAACTGCGTAGGGTGGCAATGTTCCCGGGCAAGAAGGTTTACACTAGTTGAGGGCCTTGCCATGCCAGTGACCAACCCTGAGCCTACCATAATGGGAACACTATGCCAATTCTGCCTGGCTTCAGGTAATTTCCCATTTTCTTAAGGTGAGAGGCCAGCATTGCCCTTTGCCATGGTGTCCCCTACATAACAATCATATTAAGGTCTAACTCTAGGCTTTCCTCCAAAGTACACCTCAAGCAAAGTCAACCAAAAACACCAGAACCATTTGAAGTGTTTTGGCCCCAAAATAGTGAATACAGTGCTGTAATATACTGTATAACCCACACAGTATTTCCATTTTACTGAACATCCAATTTAGCACAAGCTTATGAAAACAATATCATGATTAAGGTGCTCTTAAGATAAAAATCTAGAGTTCTTCCCAATTCACTCTACCTCTCTGTTTTTTTCTTTCGTTGATGGTGGATAGAAGAATTCCTTGATGTAGCCCACGAAGAAGAGGACGCCATAGGACAGATAGATGGTGAAGGTGGTGAACGGTGGACACTCCTCGATGTCCTTTTTTATTAGTGTTGTAAAAAAATGCATTCTTTTTTTAAATTGGGGAAAAAGTGTAGATTCCAAACAAAGCATGACAAAAATGGACAAACCCAGTTCAATGAATCACAATACAGTACACAGGTACTGTACTTTAATCTTCTATACATCTCTACTTAAAATATAAAATACCCTTAACATATTTCGTGACTGTACACACACTGAACAAAAATCACAATTAAGTATTAGCACTTGAATCACAGCTGCTTTTTTTTTGTGGACTGTGAACACGCACAAAAGACATACTACCAACACAAGCTACTGGTGAGAACATAACAGGAAGTGAACATGCAGTAAACCAGCAGCAACATGCAAATAACAGCTAACATGTAAAGCACCCAAGGTTAATAAGAGAATATTAAACAGTCAAGTTTTATAGTTACACCAAGAAAAGATTGTTATTGTACAGCAACATCATCAGTAATAGTAAACACAATAACAAATTTAAAAATGAGTTTAGAAAAATGTTACTGCAATGAATAAACAAATGTCAGAAACAAACTGGAGTACAGTATTTGTTTTCTTTAAAATATCCCTAACAAATGTTATGACTTAGAAAAACATGGGGATAAACATAAGAGAAAGAACTGTGCCTGTGAACTCGATCTTTACAGGTATTGTACCTGAAATAATACTAATACCATTAAGCCTATAAGGAGCACTTAGTAATGGTTTCACATTTAGTTAATGAGCAATTTTACCACAATGGCCCATTTCATACAGATAAACCAAATGTTTTGTATTAAAACTGATAAGCTTACATAGCATCAATTAAAATTACAACATTGAAAATTATCAACCTCTCCCTTCTTTTACCTCAAGCCAGCTCCTGTTCCTCTAGAGCCTACGTGGTCCTTGGATCTGGTTCTTTCCTTTTTGTTCCCACCTCAGTTTCTTGTCTCTCTCAGCTGAGGATTACTTTATAAGGTGGCTTTCTTGTTGGCTCTGGCTTCTGGAAGTTGTGTTTATGAAATTTATAAGTTTAATCACAAGAAGGGGATTTGTTCCTTTTATTCTAAGAACTGTTCTGTCTCCAGCCTTCCTTGTCATTTATGGCCAAAAATGAGACCTTTACTTTTCATCTGGGTCCTCTGATGGTGGATGCTTGGTATGCCAGCCAGTTGTGCATAGTATTATTCGTTGAGAGGTTCAGGTTTATCCAGCTGGATGTGTAACTGCATACACATGATGTGCACAAGTATGCTGTTAATACAGCTAATATGTCTAAGGCAAATATTTGGGCTCGGAGTTTCTGGCAGTCTAACCGGGTTTTGGCTGCCCTTTATATGTTGGATGTTGCCCACACCCCCCGGGCCTGTGTGGCTCTTGGATGCTTTTCCAGTCACTGAATTTCAACTTTCCCTAGTCCTGGGTTTTCAGGCATCTCACTCCACATGTAAACCCTTCCTCCATCTTTATTTGTTACCTTATTAATGTGTTTTTTTCACCCTGAGGCATCACTGGAAGAACACCAGTGATGCCACTGGTTAAAAGTCAACGGTGTAGGGAACTACCGAGGGCCAGTCTAGAAATCAAGGACTGAATGTAATGTACCACCTTTTTGTGGACAGTCTTGATAGTTGCCTTTCTTCTCCATGGGAATCGAGTGCTTCTTGGGTGTGGCACACTTCCAACTTCAGACTTGTTTTCAATTATATTCGATGGTGAAATACTAAAAAAACTGTTCATGACTTTTTTGAGACCAAAATTGGAATATGCAGCAGTTGTATGGTGCCCAAATCTCAAGCACATAAATAAACTGGAAAAGGTACAATGGCATGCTACAAAATGGCTTCCAGAACTGAAAAACATGAGTTACGAGGAGAGACTAGGGGCGTTAAACATGCCAAAATTAGAAGATAGAAGAAAAAAAGGTGATATGATCACCACCTACAAAATACTAACAGGAATCAAACAAATTGACAAAGAGGATTCCTGAAACCAACAACTTCACAAACAAGAGGACACAGATTCAAGCTAAGGAAACAAAGGTGCCGATAAAATATTAAAAACTTTTCTTTAGCAAAAAGTTAGGGAGAGGGTTGGAACAAGTGAGGTGGTGGTGGAGGCCAAAACCGTCAGTAGTTTCAAAGCATTATACAACAAAGAAGGGACACATCACGAGTGTAGCTCTCATCCTGTAACTACACTTAAGTAATTACACACGATTGAGGCAGGCAAGTTGGACCCCTGGGTGATCTTAGTGAACTCAAGTGCACTGCCAGGTGCACTCAAGTACTAACATCTGGTTTGTTGACACTTGGCAAACTTTTGCTTCCTTTATTTCATGTTTTCTTTCTATAATAAAGTTTGTTTTGCTTTGCCTGTATGATACTTTACGCAATTTTACTCAGTTTTTGGGTTGATCCAAGGGTGTTAGGTTTTACTCACGTTTGGGTTGATTTTTGGGGTTTTGGGTTTTACCGAGTTTTGGGTTGATCTCAGATCTCCATGCTCAATTCACCTCTATAAGCACATCAGATATTGATGCTCAATAGGCCTTTACTAGTAAAAAGGCTTAGTAGTTTTGTAGGTGTCTGGGATTCCAGAGCCATGCAGCAGGGAGCAACTAAAGCTGCCCAGAAAAAGGTGTTTCATTACATTAAACTCTTTGATTTTTGCAACATTGTCTTAACATGCTGCATTAACACAAAGCATCTATGTCCTTTTATGTGCTTACAAGGTAAAAATCTAATCCCAAATAACTGACCAATGGTATGGCGCAGTGGATGATGTGTACATCATTCGTCAGACGCAATAACGCCACCACTGGACAGGATAACTCAACAAATTTCTTGTTCCTGACAATGGTACATCATTATCAATTTTGTCAGCTGACAATGTACTGTCATGGCTGTAGAGACTTCATCTAGCCATATTCAGACATATGGATGATGCCATTTAAATTAAGACTATTCAATACATCAGTCAATAGAGCATTAGTCTCACATGCACGGGGTCCATGGTTCAAGTCTCCTACAGCCCAGGTGAATGATATGATGCAATTATTAAAAACATTTGATGGTGATAACCTATCATCGAGAATTCACCCCTAAACTGCATAATGGTGAACATAGACCATTTTTGTTACGTAGAGGGTAGCACAGAAGCAGACAAGGTTCATGCCAAGCTTGCCAAGTATGAGCACCTTGTGCAGGGTAGAACACAAGTTGGAATGAAGTGTGAATTAACCAATCCCAAATTAAATTGAGTTCTGGTAATCTGTCATACAGTATATATATAATATTTCCATGTACAGGTGAGCTGTTATATACAATGATACTGTGTACTGGCCATCTGTTATGTGTAGTGTAGGAGGCGTTGCTGTGTACCAGTGATCTGATGGGAAGTGTTTCAGTGTTAATGTATAACTGAGGTCTGTTTGAAGTTATTGAGAAGTTTGCTGAATTATTATGATCCATTTCACTTTAGTTTCAAACTGTTGTATTTACTGTATTATAGTGTGGTCTAATGGACCAAGAATAAAGACAGATTGAGGCTATAATATTCTTTCCCAAGAATCGAAGGACTAGCCAAGCTTTTAATTTCATGTCCATCCTTTTTACCATTCCATAATTTTGTGTTTTAAAGTTTCCATGTAAGGCAGAATTTTTAAAGTCATCATCTAAAAGTTAGTCATGCTTAAATCAAATTACTCTCTCTTAATCACACAATACTAAAAACATTGATAAAAACAGTTTAAGAGATGTTATCATATTTTTAGTGCATTCAAGATTGATATAGCAGTGTATGTCATGCTGTAAGAGTGTGTAGCTCTTGATGCAATACCATTGTGCGCATCAAGATAACACTACCTGTAGTGTATCTGGTAAACATCTTGGAGTATAAGAGTTTCAGTTCGGCTATTAATTATATGGCACTGGTCTTCATTTCAGTCAGTTCACTAATGCAATTATTTAGCTTCTTCATCTTTATGATAATAACCTATGAAACAGTGGCCTGTTAAAAGTGCAGCACTTTTACAGTGTCACCACCCAAGTGTTATGACCCTGCAAATGAACAGCTTTCTTAACCTCATTTTTCCATAAAAACACTTGACAATAAACAGCATAATAATAAAATGTAAAATTGAATGCACAATCTTTTAGATTTGCAAAACTTGCTTAACCTTTTGGCTGCATAGTGACAGCAGTTGAGTCAACAAAAATAGACTTGGAATGTGATAAGTGACCTCAATCTACGTGACTAGAAAAAAACATTTCTGTGTCATGTAATGTACAGCCCGGCATCTCTGAACGTCAAACCCGACCCCTGAACCTGGTAAATACAGCTAGCAGATAACAGCAGAATCAAATGTCATTGCATATGGAAGCCCTAGAAATTGGCAAATATGCTTCCTTCAAACATGCTTTTTATAAGTATTTTACATAATTAAAATAAATGATATTACACTGACTAGAAATATGGTATGTACATTAAATATACATATATAGTATTTGTACTGTATTTGGTACATATTGAAAGTCTACCTAAGTTTGTAAAGAGCTTTTCTTTTGCATGTATATGTTTCAATCTTCTGTTTAGGATTCATTCACAATTTCCTCTCCAATAAAGATTAATGGTAAAAATGAGAAGAGAATTATTTTTCTACCTTAGAAGAAAATATATTATATTTTATAAAACAATATAGATCAACAATAGGAGCAAAATCAATGTAGAAAATAGGCAGAGGAGAATTAATATTTTTGGTACTTTTGGGGTAAAATAAATACTAATCCTTAGTGAGTAGGCTTATTTATTGCATTTATGATAGTCTATACATGGCCTGATACCAAGTTATTTGAGCAATTTTGTTTACATTATAATGTACTGTATAATGATTCAAAAACTATATTCTGTTTTTACTATTTAAAATACACAATTGTTTACATGTACTGTATTTAATAATGTGCAGTACATGTATTTAGATATTGATATGTAACATGTATGTCCAGATGACG